AATAGATGTATACTGTTACAAACTGAGAGCTACTTAAGATAAACGAATGTAATTTCATGTTACAATTTGAAGTCATTCTAAAAAAAAAAGGGTAATTTAGGTTTATTTTGATTTTTTTGGTGGTTACAAGGTCAGTCGTATTGACTAATCCTCTTTAGAAAAAATAACAGATAAACTATAAAGTTTTACTGAAGAAAAAAACATTTGGAATGCATTTAGGAGGCTTCAGGGATTACACAAAGGAAATTTGAGATTTTTGAGATGAGGAAAAGTATTTTTAATTTTAACATGAAAAATTACTTTGCACATGGACTATTCAAAACAAATACTCAATATATGAATGGACAAATGTTTATTTTATTTAAAACACTTCACTAAAAACATGATTTTTTGTATATGAAAGACTTGTAATATTAACTGAAAGACTGCCAAATTTCGTTAAGATATACACACTATATTGAGAGTTATAAGTATTAAATCTATAAATACTTTAAACGAGTATAAGGTCACGTGGTCAGTCAAATTGACTGAGCCCATATTGAGAGAGTTAAGATGCTATGTAAAATTAGCAAGATTTGGGCTTACTAGCCACAGCATAGCATCTCATAGAATGGCTCTGATTTGTTTTGTTTTTTTCCATGTACAAACTTTTAGCTCATAGCTCCGTCATATGTTGTCTGATTTGAGATCTAATTACAGTTTTGGACTCAGGAGGTCAAACCCTTTTGATTGATGTATTTGACCAAGCCCAATGTCTCCTTGATCAATTTACTCTAATCCTGCCTAAAAGAATTTCAAGTGCCATGGTTATTGAGGATTCCCTCTTGTTTTTTCCAATGTAACATAACTTCCCGGGAAATAAGGATTCAAAAATTAGTTGAATCAAAATGCAAAATTGCCAACTAAACATTAATCGTACTTTTTGGAAATAAATAAGATATAAAAACATCACAATTCTTGTAACTGGGACTTTTTTAGTGTCTTTGTACATCAATATTGTTGTAATTGGACATTTTTGGAGGGTCTATGTGTCTTTGTTTTCTGATAACCAGTACATCCTTCTGGACAACCTGGAAAATTCCT